AAGGAGGGGGCTTTGTAGAAAACGAAGCGTTTGAGAGAGGGCATGCATATAGGGCCTACAATAATGTACAGTATTTGAAAAATAATGTGTTTTTTGAACATTAAAGCATGTCAACATATTATGTTACACCAAATACACAAAATAATGATCTTTAAAAAAGCATCATATGACCCCTTTAATTAATTAATTAATTTTGTTTCATTTATAAAATTGTTTATACAGCATCTTTTCAGAGAGCCAGAGAAGAAGCCACCCACAGCTGTATCCAATACATTTACTGCCTTGGTCCTCTCTCCATTTCTGCTCCTGCTTATACTGGTAAAGGTCTTCTGACACATTATTATGGGTGCATGTAAAAACTGACATGGGAATAGATTAAACTATGTAAATTAATGTTGTGATTTCTGTTGCTTTATTTAAAAATAATGTATATTCAATCTATTATTCTGTCATTCACTCTGTCATGCTTATGTTTCTCCCTCTTGCCTGTACAGTGGTTTAAACTAGGAGCCAATATCTCAAACTTCACACTGTCACCCAGCACTATTCTCTTCCACATAGGCCATGCCGGTAAGACTGACTTTTATTACACCGTAGTATTTCAGCATGATCAATAGAGTTAATAGAGTGCAACAATAGGGTTCAGAAAGTAAGAATCTCATTTTCTTCACAGAGACATTGATTATTTTTTTACAATGAAATATAAATCACTTGTTGTCAATGTTTTTTTTCCTTTAGAACTTAAATTTTACATTGGAAATGAAGTCAAGATCCAGCACAGTACAAAAAGAATGTCCTCAGAATGAAATGGGCTATGAATTTATTAAATAACTAATTCATTTAATAGTTTTTTGGTGAAGTTTATCATAACCAGATTTGCACATTGAACTTCCAAATTAATGTACAATCGAATAGAAAATGTTTTAAATAATGCTTGTTTGATGGAATATTTAACTTAAATTGAGATAAGCAGAAAAAGAGTTACCCATGTATGGAATTGAGCAAAGTAACTGCATGATTATAATGTTTGCCTTGTTTTTTCACCTTTCACTGCTTTTAAAACAGACCTGCATCCAATTTAACTTCTATAATGTGACATGCTTCTGAGAGAAATTGTTTTTTTTATTCTCTTCTCTTGCAGCTACGTTGGGTCTAATGTACGTGTACTGGACTCACTTGAACATGTTCCAGACTCTGAAGTATTTGGCTATCATAGGCAGCCTCACATTCCTGGCTGGGAACCGCATGCTAGCACAAAAAGCTGTGAAAAGGTACAGTAACCGTTTTAAACTGATAGTGCCTCTATTGTCCTTTGCAAGCACCCGAATGGTAAGCATGTTTAGACTGTCCAAATCACTCACTTTAACTTATTTAGTGCACTATGTGCCTTTTATTCACTATATAGAAAACTGAACAAGTGACTGATTTCCGCTGCAGTTATAGCACCTTTTTTATTGTGTAGGGGGCGGGACGCTTCAGATTCTAAAGAGCATTTGATTGGAAAGAGAAAATCTGATGAGAAGATAAAATGTAGAATAATGTCATAAAAATTATTTATCCGTTGAGGCAGTACAGAGACACTATAAATTTTGAATGCATGTAACCTCTAAATGCAAAGATTTTGCCATTGTTTTTGAGCACACTAGCTATAACCTTAACACTAACCTATTCAGATATAAACAGCATTTACTCTCACACAGTGAAACTTTGCTGGCGAAAAAGGTGCAATGTTAAGTGTATGTAAACATAGCATGTAGTAACATTTTTGAGTGAAAATGCAAATGAACCAGTGTTAGCATCATGAAGTTTGTTTTGAAGGCCAACCTTCATGGTCATTCAAGCCACTGTGATATGTTGCTTAATTTTATATTGCCATCAAAATTATGTATAGATAGCGAATATTTGGTATATCTTTCAGTCTTATTTCTGACGTGGTAAAAAGGCAGCTTTGAATTGCACTATTTGACAAAATAGAGGCTTGGGTTTTTATCTCTGTCCCCTTTATGTCTTCACTCTGAACCTTCTGCTGAACTTGTGGGTGTGTTGCCATCTCTGTAGTGTGTGCTTGGTTTACTCAGAAGTGGTTTCCTCTTCATTTTCTGTCTTTTGGGACTAGATTAATTTCACAGATTTAGAATGTACCTACCTGAGGATGCCCTGCTAATTAAAAGCCTTTTGTGGAAGATTACTCACCCAATTAATCTGTAGTGCCTTTAAAAAGACCTTAGAGAGAACATAAGTGTCCATTCAGTGTTTAGTTTTAACCTGAAATGTTTTTTTTTTTCCTAGGCCCAATTCTGTACAGATAAATTCCTTTAATGCATTTAATGCAAGGCTTTGACTTCCACTTGTCTAGAGTTCCATCTCTTTTTCCAAAGCGACATTTGTACATAAAGCAAGCAACAGCGAAGTGACCTAAAATCATTATCTATGAGAGTTGGTGATGTGACAGATGAGAAAAGTTTCGATGGAGCTCATCCATCTACCATGAGATACTGTTGTCATGTTTAAACATCTTTTTTACTGCCAATACATGTCATTAGTTGGCAGATTTTCAAAAGATTTTACACAGCCCACCAATAATATTGGGGCATCTAGTAGTAGAAACACGTACTAGCAGCCAACAATACAGCGGCCTTTTGACTGCCAGGCCAAGCTGAATGGAGCATTTAGGGACATTCACACCACTATAATAACTATAACGTTTTCAATAATCACTCTTACAAAATAAGAATAGGGAAGTCCACACCATAGGTATAACAAAAATGAAGAACAATATTATTGGAATCTCATTAAGAACAGTTTTTTTTTTCAGCTGATGAACAATAAAAACAATCCAATCAGAATTCAACTGACTTTAAAGTGTGCATTTAAAGGGGCAGATGGCAGAAATAACGTTATTGTCCATTGGTGTGGACTCTATAACTTTACAGTTATTGTTCTTGGTGTGAAAACACTTTGTCTCAGTAATTGTTTCTTTAACCCTTCTGCGTTTTTCCATTCCCTCTCTTTCTTTACCCTTCCTTTAGGATTGCTGCAGAACAAAGTAGTAGGTTGGCAAAATATAGGAGTCTGCGATAAATGCCTGAATGTTTTGCAAAAAGAAAGGCCAGTCTTCAGGCTGAAGTAAGGCTTGCTGTTGCCACCTGTGCATCCCATAATATGGCATCAACATTTCCATGACAACACCTACTGCATGGCTATGTTGGTGTGTTTGCTGAGTGAAGCTCACAACTTCCTTTGAAACAATGCCATTTGTGACTGTCAAGCCATATTTTTCATGTCATGCTTTTTATTGATCAGAGTGTTGTGATCACTTGTTTTTGTTGGCTTGTGTTTCACTTCATTAGTGTGTTCAGTTGACAGACCGCTGAACTACAGTTTAGGCCCTATGTGATAAATTGCTTGTCTTTTTGTCACTGTGAAAATTTCTCAGTTGTGGAGTTGCCTGATTAAAGTTCTATATGAACAACTACTCTATAAATTCCAAGCATTCACTAAACTATTATTTTCAGTGCAAATGTGTTTCTATACAAATAAGGGGCATCATAGGGCTTCACTTGGTTCACAAATAGCAGCGCTATTTGCCTGGCACAATTAATATTTGCAGCGTTAATATAAATACAAACATATTTACAGTCAGAACAACCTGTAAAAAAAAAAAAAAAAGAAATCCTAAATACAGCGGCTAGGCTACACTTCTACTAAAATCAGTTTTGTAACACAGGTGGTAAAGAAGAATAAATGTTCATCACAAGTAGCCTTTCCACAAGCTGAGGAAAATTCTAATATATAGTAGGTGCATGGTATCATACAGACTAAAATAACCAATATACATATCTAACAAAAACTACCAATAAACAATGATTTAAATAAAATCCAATCGAATGTGAAGTGTCACAGGGAATTCTGGGAATGTCAGTGTATGGTTTGTCAGTATTTAAATTGCACATTTAACAGTATTTTACTATAAAATAACATGAAATGACAAGATCAAGAATAGACTAAATCTATGACAGTTTTTTTTTTCCCCCTGTATATGGTAAAGGAACCTACCATTAACCAATTAATAGGTGTTTACTATAGCATTTTTACAGTCAAAATTACAATATTTTTTAGAATGCAGATCGTTGTAGTCTGCTGCATCCTTCTTAACCTAGTACTCATAACTGGCCTGCTAAAGAGGAATTGCTCTGTGCAAACGGTGTCTGATGTTTGCCCCAGTACCTAATTTGCATGTGCTTTTGAATCATGCTGAAGCACTGCAGACATGATGCATGCTAATAAACTATGCTCAATGCATGCAATTTATTCTTGGAAATTCCCCTTCCTAAAATGATTTTGAATACTGAGTGGATTGGTCATAATTAATACAGTATTGCATTTTAAATAATAATTTTCTTTTTTAATTATAGTAATGACCTTGCTTGCAGTGCAGCACTGTATTTATGTTTGTCAAACATTCTGTTTAGGGTTTGAAAGTGTTCCATTAACTTTGTTCGATTTTAGCATTCAAAAGATAACCAACAGATTATGTCGTGGATATTTGAATACTGTTTAGTAATTGGTCTCTTCCTGCATCCGTTTAACCAACTGCAGTGTGATTGATGACAAAAAGGTTAATGTTGCATTGCAGGTTACGAAGAACTGCAGTTTAAAACCTAAGCTTTTGCTACCTTGCAAGCACTGCTATTCCCTACAGGAAGTACAAATTTGGTTTTAATCAGTACTTTGTTCTCTTTTTCAGACTTGATGGAAAATGATGCTGGTAAAATCGAGAAGACCATGGATGTTTCATATTCATGTTTTTTCTTTTTTATGAAATTTGGGAACAGAAGTATTGGTGGTGGTTTAAAAGAGAAACAAAGATGCAGGCCGGAATGTTCTGGAATTTTCAAAAATACAAATTGAATTTGACAATTAAGAAACATGCAGTTTTCTTTTTTTGACAACAAATCACTTTCAGATGAATACGTTGAGGATATGATGATTGTTGCTTGTACATTGAATTGTGTTTGGTAATTCAAATGAAAGTTTGTGATATTCTACTGCTGTTTCCTGTTTTTGGAAGGATGTTCATTTGATTGTTTTTGAATACAGATTCCTGTCCTCAGATTTTTGTAATGAATGGTGAAGTATGTTCCTGTTTGAGGACTTTTTTTTTTTTTTTTACTTTGTCATACCATCAGAGCAAGAGGTTTTGTTTGTCATCAACTGAACAGAAATGTGGAATCATTCTTCCAGTCATCACCACACAGATGGCTAACACAATGTTTTTTAAAATAAATAAAACGATTAAAACACATTTGCTTGTTTTGTGTTTTTTAGTGGCCGATACTGGTTTTCAGAGAGCAGGGCAGCTAATATAATACTGAACACACCTAATCATTCTTTACTATTCTAAAATGTAGAAAATATAAAGATTTTAACAAAAGTATGAAATGCAAGTATGGGGATTATGTAGTAACCAAAACATGTTAAAGAAATGAAATCTAGCCATTTTGAAGGGCTTTGTGTGTGTGTTGGATATTTGTTGGCTGCTCTTAACTTTTTGGGTGCAGGTTTAATGATCTACAACAATATAGAGTGAGATTTGGTGGCAAGTAAGCTAATATTTAATATAACACTGATTTCCCGCTAGAAGTAACATCAAACGTTAGTCAGAATCACACAAAAACTGTCCACAAAATGCAACTTTCAGACACCATCTTTATTTTTAAGCTCAACTTTTATGGAACTGAACACACAGGATTGTGGGATATCAAAGGCAGTGAAGGATACGTCTATGCTGCCTTCAAAAATCGATCAGATGAGGGCACCTCAGGAGACGGGAAGTGAATCTGACATTAGATTCGGATGTGCCTTGATGCCTTCCTACCTTGGAATGCATCCTCCTCAGGCAGCATTTTTTAGTCTTTGGACGCAGCCACAGTCTTTAATCCAAAAAGCATAAAGTTCTGGTGTTCAATTACAGTTCATTCGTTGGTTGGCTGCTTGGTATTTAAACACTTTTTTCATGTTGTTCATGCGTTGGAAATCACAGGTGTGCTCAATTTTGTTTCAGTGATTACAGGTTTTCCAACTTGTGTGTCAGTGATAACAGGTGTGTTCACTAAATTGTTATTCACTTCACACATTATTTAATCTTATTGTTGCTTTGAGGTTCTACTTTCTCTTTTCTATAGTCTTTCTAAAGTGTTTGTAATTATTCATGAGAGTAATGTCATCTTAGATTTGTCAACTCCGAAATAATGTTATTAGTGAGAGGTGACATTTTTCTTTTTCAGTATAATTTGGCTAGAGTTCTTCAGGTAGGATTTGTCATCAGTGTTTTTAAGGAGTGGCTTAAGGAATGATTATACCACTATACAACCATATTACTTGCTTGTGTATTTTTAGGTAGGGACTCCTGATTCCTGTGGCAGACAAAAATACACAGTGCACAGAAAACTATGAAGGGTGAACTGAGTTTTAATAATCCAGTGTAAAATGTGGCAAATGCAAGTATAAAGACTGTTCACAGTTTTTTATTAATGTTTAATCATTGTGTAACTACTGAGAACTTAAGTCTTTGTGGTTTTCTGTAACTTTGTTCCCTCTCAATGACATCCATATCCACATCTTGCTTGAAGGTGTCTCCATATATGCCCGACTGGTGTTTCACATAGTTTTGAGTTTCTGGTCTGTTGACAGAAAAAAAAAAAGAATTAAACATCATGGGACACACCATTATTAAATTATGTAGTTAAATCACGAGATTAATTAGCAGAATGGAAAAAAGTGGATCAGAGACGGGGTACCTAAAACTAAATTATTTAATTAAAAACAATAAATGATTTAGATATAGTTGTCCAAAAAAAAAAAAAAAAAAACATACCCAAGTCTTTTGCCCATTACAGTTTGAAGAAATTTTCTGGCAGATATTTGACCGAGAACTTTTCGGTAGCTATTGGTAAAGATGGCGTCAGCATGCCTTCCAAACCTGAAGATGGTGTTTAAACATCACACAGTTATGACAGAGTTAGATGACTTCATTTGAAGTCAGATTAGACCGTGCGAGAAATTTTGTACCAGTTAACAGAAATGTCACATGGCTGTTAGTGTGACAGTGCTGCATTTTTATTCAATCTTACAGTAAAATTGCAAGAATGATTTTTGATAGTTTGGAAGCGTCAGCAAAAATTGGTTGACAATATAGGCAGTAATCAGTGTATGCAATATGCCATATTATAATCCCATATATGCATATATATATATATATATATATATATATTTCTGACACATGCATGCAAGTGGCAAGTGAAAATGTCAGGGCAAGAGAAATCTAAACTGTTGCACAGTAGAAAAGAACGTGTTATTGTTGAGCACTAGGTGAATGAATGACTGACCTAAACTCAGCATCTGGTGTTTGGGATGAAGTATCTGCTGGCAACTGCATTGGATCCTCAATAGAGCAGGTCATCAGTATCGCAGCTGCTCTCTGACCGAACCTAACAAACACATCAAGCACTGTGTTTATCACTGTCACATTCGTAAGATGTGAACATACCCATAGAATAGAACAAGTTCTCTTCTACATAGAACAGTCAAAACAAGATGTTTTCAGACAGGAGTGGTTTTAATCCAATTTTCGGTAGAGCAGACTACCATTTGGTAAAGGTTATTTTTGGCAGCCAATTTCTGTTAAGTCTTTAGTACATAAAAGATACAGTGCGCTTAATGCACAGGATGGGTTCATGACTGGGACGACTAGCCCCAGTCTCACCCCTGTTTTTAAACAAAAACATTGTTATTACATTACAAATTTCATGTAGTAAGGAAAAAAATTAAATAAGATGCTCTCAAAAAGCCGTGGACTCACATCGTGTGTCTGTAGTTCATAATGAGAAGCCCTGACCCTAGTTAACACAAAAGCAGAGTTCAGGCTCTGTCAATTAGCGTAACGTGACAGATTTTGAACCTTTTATACGGTCTATGCTCTGAACATACGCTCAGAAGCAGCACAGACTTACACTCTTCTCATAGGCAGCTGTTCTTTGTTAATACCAATCATACTCTACTCTTTGCCCATGTGTTTGTATAGAGGCGTATAACCTAGCGTAAAAATGAGTCATAAACTGTTAATTAGTTGTATCCCAACAAGTGCTGCAAATGTCATGTTCTGAGAAAATCAGAATGCTATGAGAATGGTTTGCTGTTACATAATACTGTTGATGATTTCAAGTAGTCTCTCATTTAAGAGGATTTGTTATTATAAATGATATAACTGTTATTTGTTATGTTTGCTACAAAGAAGACTGCATGATTTAGACATGAAGGATCCTTAGATTCTCACGTGCAAATTGTGTGTTGTGTTTTTATTTTTATGTTTTTTCTTGTTCATTTATAATCATTTATTCGCATAATCATTTTATAGCCTAATCATTAGTCATTCGTATGATTTATTATTTAATTATTTTTATTATTTGATTATTAATATCATTTGATTATTTTTATTATTATTTATCATTATATTATTTAAGTATTTTTATTGTTTATCCATTTATTATGTTTATTCATTTATTATGTTTCTATATTTTATATTTCTTATAAATTTTTCCTTGCTTATGCATTTTCATTGTTGTTCAGTCTCATGCTTGTGGGGTTTCATGAACTGTTTTGTCTGTATTAATAAGAGATAGATAAGAGGGAATGTTTATGGAAACCCAAGGTTTATGGGATGTTGCTGTGAAGTAGGGCTATGCAATTAATCGCATGTGATTGTCATGCGCATCTCGTCAGTAAAGCCGGTTCTGTGATTAGTAGTAAATCTCCATCACCTGCTTTCAGATGGAGCGGCATTTACTACACAGAGCCGTAGTTCACTGACAATTAGGCAATATCGCGTAATTTGCTGGCTTTCCTCTGTCAACTTCTTGACTGACAGAAGACTGTTAAACACTCGTTTTGGGTATTTTTGGATACCAGACAAGACTTGCTGTTAACAGGGTTTGGGTATTAACAGCGCTGCTGACTAGTTGTTCTGTTACTGGACAAACTGATATTTTCTGACGGGATCTGGTGTCCGGGCTGGATCCTAATTATTATCTGGCGTGGACACCCGATCTGACATTTTGGCATAGTCGGCAGGATGGAATAACACTGCTGTTATCTCCATAAGAGCGGAGTCTGGATTGTTTCTCGCACAACCAAATGGTGGAATGTCCCAGACCACTGGGCTTCTGACTCCGGGCCACGAGTGAGGACCAGGGTGACTCCAGCAGGCGTCTTCTCCTGGCTTAACTACTGCAAAGCAGAGTGAGTGTGTTCTGTTTTGACATTTCATGAAAATTCAGTACGTGCTGTGGGAGTAGCTTGGCTACTGGGTCAGATTATATAATTTCTTCAGTTATGGAGGAGTCAGAAGTTAAGATAGATTATGTAATTGAAACACTGACAGAACAACTGAAAGAGCACTTTAAGGTCAAAGAAGCAGAATAAGAAATAGTTGCTAAATATAAAATCAAGGTGCAAAAGGGCAGTCTTTGGGAACCTAAAGACACCAAAAAAGCATGGGGTAAAATTCAAAGAATGAAAACCAGAGAATAAAGACGAATTCCTTGGATTTTTGCCACTTTGTCTAAATTTAGGAAATGGGAAATGAAACAGCAATTAGACAATCTTAACAGAGACAAAGAAGTCATGGAGAGAAAGCTGAAGGGGTTACAAGATGGGCTGTGAGCCATCAAGTTTTATCTAAATTCTGGGCAAAGGAGGGCCTTTCCTATCAGTTTGGCTGAGTGGGTTAATTCCTGAAATTAGGAAAGGCGTGTGTAACAGGAAGGAGGGCTTAGGCTTCCCTACTGACACCAATCTAACTGTTGAAGAATTGCTAATTACTGCAAGAGATGTGGCACGAGCAGAAAACCAAGCTTCAAAATTAGTGTGTGTTTTGATTGCAGAAATCCAATCATGGTTTGCATTTACAATTCAAGGTCAACAATACACCTTTACGAGATTGCCACAGGGTCTCCACAATTCTCCTAATATTTATCAACAGTCTTTGCAAAGACATTTGAAAGATTTTGATTCAACATCAGTTGTCATTCAGTATACTGATGATGTTTTGATTTGTTCAGAAGATAAAACTGAACATGAGAGGGATGTCAGGCGGCTGTTTGATTTCCTGTACAGCAAAGGTCACAGAGCAAACCTGGAAAAAGCTCAACTGTGTAAGGCAGAAGCTGTGAGGCTGTTAAAACACATCCAATTCCTCAAACCATTCGAGAGCTGAGATCCTTTTTGGGCCTATGTAATTACAGTC